TGATTATGATATTTATTTTTCGATTTTAAAAACTGATTAAGAATAATTCATGTTTATCATTTAAGCATGTACGCCACATCAAATAGTACCATATTAAAATATCAGTATCAGATATTTGATCCACAAATCAAAATAAAATTTTCAATTAAAAGTCGAGGAAGCATGACTACCAAAGGGATATTTAAAAACTAATATCAAATATTCGACCCATAAATTGAAAAACCAATTTTTAAAAATTTTGTGGTAGGTATGGAGGATTATAGGTTTGTATTTTTTCTTCTTTTATTTATTTTCACTATTTTCTCATAATCTCACTATTTTTATGTAATGCCTCCACTCTAATAATATTAAGTAGTATTGTGTTTTTTTTTTTAGGTAAATTCAGGGTGTTCACGGTTTAGATAAAAACTGATTCAAATCGAAAAATCAAATCAAATTGATTAAATAAACTGCTTTAATTTGGATTTTGATTTGTTTGATTTTAGATTGTTAAGAACTGATAGTATTTGGTTTGGTTATGGTAGTGTTAAAAAGAATCAAAGAAATAATCGAACTGAACCCACACGTTATATACATAAATTTAATTATTATACATACATAATATTTATATTCATAATTTTTTTGAAAGATTTTATATATGTCTGATCAAAATTTATTTATAATTTACTTATGAAAAAAATATATCCAAGGTGAGCTCATTTTTCTTATTGGTTTCATGTATATGAGTGTATCGAAATTCTTTGTGGGACTGAAAATGTTATTGTCTCTTCCTTCTAATGCCAAAATAGTGAAGTTTAAGTTTTATTCAGTAAATTCAATGATCGACAACTCTGTAATGACATTCATTCTAACTATTTTTTTCGTTTAAATAAATTGTTGTCGCTTTTTTCACGTTTTGAATGAATTATATCTTTTATTTTTATGTATGGCTAATAACCGAATAATCAAACCAAACCAAACAAAAACCGAAAATACCCAAACCGGTAAATGTACATTATATTTGGTTTGGTTTGGTTATGATAATTTTAAAACCGATTAAATTGGTTTGATTTTAATTTTGATTAATAACTGACTCAAACCAACCCATGAACACCTCTAGTTAAAACTTTGATTTTTTATTTTGTTTGTTTGAGTTATTTCCTTAATAGGGTAATAATTAGGAAAAATGCACAAGTACCCCACTCAACCTATACTCGAAATCTCAGATACACACTTATGCTATACTAAGGTCCTATTACCCCCTGAACTTATTTTATAAGTAATTTTTTACCGTTTTTCGATCTACGTGGCACTAGTTTGAAAAAAAAATCAACTAGCGTTGGAACCACAAGATAGTTCCCTCATAGGTCAAAAAAGAGTAGAAAATTATTAATAAAATAAGTTCAGAGGGTAATAGAACATTAGTATAGTATAAGTGAATCTCTAAAATTTCAGACATAGATTGATGGGGTGCTTGTGCATCGTTCATATTAATTATTATATGAATATTTTGCAGATCCAGTTCATGCATTTTTTTTACTTCATCATTTTTAAGGGTTCATGTCAATAAATCTAAATATGAGCTTAATTTGCTCCATGCAGTTTGAAGTTCCTAAAGTCATTAGGTTGTAGCTAATTAATTAATATCTCTTACAATTTTTCTTTTTATATCTCTTGTTTCAATTTAATTAGGTAAAATTGTGTCCTCATTGTGTGGTTTGAATGATAACTTGATTAGTGATGCAATGTTGTTATATCAGCAATACATAATTATGTCAAATATTTTTTTCCTTTTTTTGATTGGCATGATAAGATTTTGCACAATTTTTAAGAAAATTGATAATTAAGAGTATAGTTTGACTAATATATCCTTTATTAATTAATTAATCTTTATTCCCTATGTCTCATATTAATTGATCATTTTTTTAAAAATATTTGTCCCAAATTTTTGATCACTTACTAAATTTAAAACTAATTATTTTTTTTCCATTTCACCCCTACAATTAATATCATCATCATGCTTAATGTTTCCGTAGTTTCTCTTTGGAAGTTTAAACAAAATTAAAGTTCCTAAAATTTATTTGTCCAAAGAGTTCATTAAATACTTAATCCCTCATTTGTACTCTTGTTCTCACCCACTTTGGAGTACTTACACCTTTTGTATGCCCCACGTCATAATAAATTATCTTGATATCTATAAATATGGACAAATGGTAAGATTTTAAAATATTTTATAAGCAGATAAGTATAGATATGCGTTCTTTAACTTGACTTCGACTTACATTTGTATCCTCAACTTTTGGTGTGCGCAAGTAGACACTTAATCTTGCATAAAGTTAAACAAATAGACACTAACATCTAGGGGTGTCAAAAGTGAACCCAAACATAGATAGCCCACTCAACCCGCCCAGAATTTTAAGGGTTGAGCTCAAGATGATTTGAATTGGGTTCAATCTCAACTCATTCAAGCATAACCCATTTGAAGAGAATTCTCAATTGAGTCTAATTCAATATCTAATTTTAGCCTGTTTTAAAACTTTTTATTAAGCTATGTTTCTATATCTAAGGTATAAATTATTATCTATTTAGCTTTTAGGGTTTATCTACCCATTTGATACTTTTTTTTAAAAAAATCGAGCTAAAATTCAAATTGTGATTATAAAAGTTAAATATCCATATGTTAAATTATTGAGATTAATCGAGTCAAATTGAGCGGGTCAAGACCCAACCCGTTTTTAAGCCCATTTTAGCCCAAAGTAAACTTGAGCGGTCAAGACCCAACCCGACTTCTATCTCAACCTATTTTAATATTTTCAATTTCAGCCCAACACACCCAGTTGACACCCCTACTCACATCCTACATGACATTTTATATAGCAATTTGCATTATCATGCGTGGTGACCTAGTTGTATTATGACATGGAGGATTTATATGCTTACTCGTTCGACTTTATACAAGTTCAAATATATGTCTGTGCACAATCAAAGTCTAGGACATAAATGAAAAATGAAGCTAAATTAAAAGGTACATTTATGTATTATGCCTACTTATAAAATGTTTTGAAATTCTACCCATTCAAAAGGATTTTCTTTACTAGATCTTGATACTTGATAGAGAGAGAGAGAGAGCAGTCTTATATATATAGAGAGAGCTATGTTTGATCTTTAATAGGAAATAAATAAGTGTATGAAAAGGAGTCTGAATAGAAATAAGACTTCCTCATAGATTTAATCGAACAGATATTTTCAGAATCATTAAGAATTTTTTTATATGAAAAAAAAATAAATACACTTAATGACTAATGTCTAAATATAGATTTAGACCTCCACTAAATACAAACAAATGAGGCTTTAGAATACAATGATCCATAATTTATTTATAAGAAGAAATCAATTATATAAACATTATTAATATTTTTTAAAAAATTCGAAGCCTTGATTTGATTTTAACTTTAGATCACTAATATGCTTGAACCACCCCTGAACACAGTTATTATATTTGAAAAAACCATTTAATTATCAAGTCAACACTCACAAACAATAGTCATATAAAAGAATTCTCTAGAACTCGTGGGATGTCATACCCAAGAACAAAATCCACAAATTCGTATATTAGGGGTTATTTTAAAATATAAAAAAAAAGAAAGTCAACTACTAATATTGTATAATTTGATTTTAAACTTTTTTTATGCACGTTTTTTTTAAAGGTTACTCTGTCTAGATTAAACACCCTCCATAAAATTTTTAGTTTTGTCAATATGTCAGACCTTAACCTAACATCATGGCTCTACTACTTGATTATGACAATTTTAATTAGGAAAAAAAAATTAAATTCAACGTAAAACCTAATTTACTAAATTAACTCAAGTCTTCTAGTTAAAATAAGAGTAGGTAAAGTAATTTTAGCACATGACAAAATCTATTCAAAGGGATCTTTTGAATAATGAAATGGAGATGGTAGGGACCTCCATTTTTGAATAGGTGGTGATAATAGCAAATTGAGGAAGTTGCAATGCCAAGCAAAGCAAAACCCCACTCTCAACCAAATATCTCTCACCCACTCTTTAAAAGCTTAGAGAAAACATTAAGCTAGCGTTTGGCCATAGATTTCCAAATATTCTTGGCAAAAATTATTTGAGTGAAAATTTAGATGAAATTTCACCATGTGTTTGGCCATAAAATTTGGAAAATATATTTCACCTTTTTAGAAAAATATGATTTATACACACAAGTTTTAAAAACTATCAAAACTAACTAAAAGTTTGTATTACAAGTCAATTGAATGTTGGTTACAACAATAACAAATTAATGTCCATGGCACTGAAGCAATGTGGTAATTTGGAGTGAGTGCAACAAGAATTATTCCATACATCGTGAAGTAGATAAAGTACATGACTTTGTTACCTAAAGCCAATTTTTAATAATTTTCATCAACAATCATATCATTATTTAATATTCACTAAATATTTCATCACTATTTTGGTGTTCACGTAAAAAATGATGTAATACAACACAAGCAAATACTAGAGATTGATGTTTTTATAAAAGATAAAAGATTGGGGTAAAATTTTAATTTTAAAATATCCCAAATAATGATATTTGGCCCAAATACTAGAAAAAACTAGTATTTGGAAATTTGGGATATTTGCCAAAAATATTTGTCAAACAATGACAAATTGTATGGACAAACATTATTTGCCAAATTTTTCCCAAATATTATTTAGAAAATTTATGGCCAAACGGGCCCTAAAAGTGGAGGAAGAAAAATGTCACTCTCTTTTCTCACTTCATCATTACTATCAGCATGCTCCATTTAGCAAAAGTATTTCCATTTTTTAAGTGCAAAATTTCCTAATATATATTTTGGAAGTTGTTTGTTAATCAATCAAACCAACAAGAAGTTTTGTGAAAAGGAAAAGAAAATTGAAAATTAATCCATATTTTGGTTGTTTACTTAAAAACAAAACCTTCCTCTCATAATACTCGCATTGATTTTAAAAAAAAAGGACAGTCTGATGCACAAAGTTTTCATTATGTGTGGAGTTTGTAAAAGAGCTAGCCACAAATGTCTTTAATTACACATTGATAATGGAAATTAAAAAATACGACACTGATATATTTTAATATGTCATAGCAAGTGATTTGTCTTCTTTTTCTAGGTCAATAATCCTATATTTTTTTAAAAGTTTTTTTAGGTTTCTAATACTATTTTTTTTTAACTTTTAGTTATTTTTTGAGTGACCTGATAGTATAAAATTGTTTTTGTTTGTCAATGTATAAACTCTTACTTTATGAGCCATTCCCATGCTATATTTACCTACTTATTACTTCATTCTACATCCTCCATTTGTTTATGAACTTTTATTAGTTCAACTCTAAGTGACTCTTAGCCTTGTCCTAGAACAAAGATAAAAGTTCCAAACCTCCAATGCTATGTTTGGACTCTAAGTAATGTGTTATATGTACTAATAACACACCATATTTTTGAGCTTATTTTTGCCTCCCAAAGAAGCAGATAAAGCAACATGAAATATGTATTCTTATAGCAGCAACCTAACAATCTATTCTTTCTTGATTTGAAGAAGTAGAATCTTGATTTTTTTCCTCCGATGGATTCGTTCAAGCAAACATCAACAGGTTTTCTATACAACCCTGATTTAAGTACAGATTCAGAATCTGAATTCTCAGGAGTTCTTGAAATTCATGTCCACCATGCTAGGAACATTCACAATATCTGCATCTATAACAATCAAGATGTGTACGCCAAATTTTCACTTACGTACAATCCTGATGAAGCTATATCAACAAGGATCATAAATGGTGGTGGCAAAAATCCAGATTTCAATGAAGATTTAGCAATGAAAGTTTCCCAAGTTGATTCCATCCTCAAATGTGAAATTTGGATGCTTAGTAGAGCCAAAGCCTTGATGGAAGATCAACTCTTGGGATTTGCTTTAGTTCCTATTTCTTCAGTTGTTGGCAAAGGAAAAACCACTCAAGATTTTAGCCTTTCTTCAACTGATTTGTTTCATTCCCCTGCTGGTATAGTTAAACTGTCCCTTTTCTTGAATACCAACAACCTCATTTCAGTATCAAAAAACAATCCTTCGTGTTCACCGTCATCTTCTTCTTCTATAAGTTCAGAAGTTGTGTTACTAGACAGAAATACATGTCAAGCTATTCTTGATCCAGTTGAGTATTCAAGAATAGAGTTCCCTGAGATCAGTTTAGTTAAAGAGAATCAAGAAATGGTGTCTCAATATTTTGACTTGGGAGGTTCATTTCTCCAACTTGCTGCATTCCACAGTCATCATGATGATGATCAACAACAACAGCCACAAGATGACTATGAAATGGATGCAATGAATCCATCAGAAGATGATATTTCTCCTAAACAAACTTCTTGGTTCCTTAGCTCCTCAAGTTCTCTAAGTGATGAGAGGAACTCAGCAGATTCCTCCCCAGATAAACACAGCAATGATATCAAAAAGGACTCAATTAAGAAAGAAAATGAAGAATTGAAAGAACCCCATGTGCTTTTCTCAGCTCCATTAGGGAATATCATCAAGATTGATGCAGAACAATCAGGTATGCAACAGCAGATAGTGGATATGTACATGAGAAGTATGCAGCAGTTTACCGAGTCGTTAGCAAAGATGAAACTACCAATGGACTTGGATAAAGCTGATCAGAAAGATCATGGAAGCTCATCATCAGATACGAACAACAACAGGAAAGAAAATTCAAGAGTATTTTATGGTAGCAGAGCCTTCTTTTGAACTATGTCTCATCATGGTATTCAATATCTGCTTTTAGCACTGTTTTGGTCATCAGCTTCTCCTGTCCTGCTTAGAATGACATAACAAAAGTAACTTTATAGTAGTTATTCCCATAAGAGAATTGCTCTCATTAGCCAAAATTCCATATATGATTTTGATTCAAGTTTTTCTTGCAACTGAGTTATGTATGTAAAAGTGAATTATTCATGAAGATTGAAATTGTTGAAGGAAATTTTGTTCATTTTCAATTCAATAGACTATTGATTGGTCAAGTAAAGGTGCTAAGGCCAACAGACTTTTGGCATCCACTTTTGAGGTAAGGCTGCATTGACAATTGGATGCCTTCCACATGTGAAGCTTAAAATGCTATAGAAGAATTATTATTTGTGTAGAGACCAACGCCAACAAAAATATAAAAAAAAATTACAATAAGAATCTGCATAAAGCTGGTAAAGTTAGACTACTACCAATATTGTATTATTCAACTAGACAAATTTACAGGTCTTCTTGAATCCTCCATCCATAGCTAGTTTAACATATGAAGCAGAGATGGGAGTTGGAATATATTACTAATCTTAAGGATCTAAAAGATAAATATGAAGTTCACCTAACAATGTACATTTATTGGGGGAAAAAAGGAGCTTCCTTTTCCATTTGTCAATGATTATATGTATCTGGAATTGACAAGAGGGTATGAACATGGTGCATACCATTTACCAGTAAATCCAGCATCTTTACTGTGTCGATTATTTTACACATAAAAGAAGTGAAATATGTACAAGGGGCGCGAGTCCTGAAGTCAAGATCTTTAGGGTCGTCGTTCAGGAGCAGAACTCACTTTCGACCCATCCTCACCAAACGCTGCTGGTGCTTCTCGGCAGCCGCCTTATCAGCAGCTTCACGCTTCAGTGCCCTCTTGGCACGCCGCCCAACAAGTTCTTTAGAAGCAGCAGTCTCCTTATTGGGCACGCGGGAAGAACCAGCACCCGATTCCTGAGGGTTTGGTCGATAAACAGGCCTCGCTTCTTGCCTTCCTGCACTGACATATCCATTGTCTCCCCATCGTCTATTGCCTATACGGAGTCTTGAAGAACTGCTAATGAAATAATCTTCTGTAAAATCATCATCTGCATCATCATACATGTACATGTCATCCATGTCATCATCAATCTCCGTCTTTTCCTCCACAATCAAAGGTTTAAACCATGATGCCCTGAGGAGAAGGCAAACACTCTCCTCAAACATGTAGTCCTGAAGGCTGTTAAAATGGACAAATAATTAGTACTCAAGAGAATAGAAGTCACCAGCTAGAAATAGAATTCAAAATCCAAAAAATAAGCATAGATGGCAAACATAGAAACAGCGCCCTTCTCAAAAATGGAACTAACAATGTATTAGTCATGTCAATATGTGAAAGGAAAAAGAGGTCGAGCAAAACTTTTGGTCCTCCATACAACCACCTAACACAGCATTCATACTTTGAATAGCAAACTGCAAATTATAAAGTAGTTAATATCATGACAACACCACAGTATTCTTCTTAAGTAGGAGGATTTGAAATTACTACAGTTGCTCCCCATTTAGATCCCAATGTTTTCAGGTATATTTGCAAGGAACATAGACAAGATTATTTTAAGTACCATTCTGAAACAGTAGAGATTCATGACACTAGAAGAGGATAGACATCTGATAGTAACTGGATGCACACCTCTTCAGCTTGGTAAACCAATGACAGAAAGATACTTAGAATTAACGTGCTCTACCGTATAATGGGAACTTTCCATGAAAAATGACATGAAGTAGCTGTGTTGTTCAGGCAATTTGCCTTCCCGATTCATCTATGGGAAGATGGGTTCTGGTAAAATTTGGGAGTTTGAATAATATGGAATAACTGATAAGCGAACTTTGTATTAAAGAGGCCACTGGAGAAGGAAATCCAGAAGAAAGTATCAACTTTAAGATCAGAGAATAGATTGTATGTGTTTGTTGATCATATCTGCAACCTGCAGGGATAAGTCGAAAGAAAACAAGGACAGATTCACTGGTTGTTATAAATCATATAGCTTAGAGGCTTTCCATGAATAATGAAAGCAAGTAGTTATCTAAACCTCTCTACATTAAACTCTTGCTATGCTTCACAAGGCTTCACATCTCCCTCCTTAGTCCTTGCATATATTTTTAGCGCACACCAGTTTTAGCGCTAAAGGTGGGTGCTTGTAAAAAGAAAAGACAGCCCCGGAAATCAGTATAAAAGGAGAGAGTGGTGAGTGCATCTAATTTAGCAAATCTCTCTATTTGTGCATAATCATGAACAATACACCCAAAGAAAGTAGAATAGCTTTTTAACGTCCCTTTTTTTTTCTTTTTTTCTTTTTTTTTTCTTTTGCCGCTTGCTCTTTGTCTTTCTACTATCATCATCGTTTGTGTTTTTCTTCAATTTTCTTTTTCTTCTGCCGCTTGTCTTCTTAACCTCCCCCTACACGTTATCCTCGCTACTATTACAGCTATATAAGCCACTCTTTTGCATCTTACAAATTCATTCTAAAACATTTTTAGTTTTGATAGAGCGAAAGGAGTAGAACAAAAAAAATGGTGGAGAATGGTGATTTGGTTGTGTCGATTGTTGTGAGAGAATTTGATGCGAAAAATGATAGCAAAGAAGTGGAAGAAGTAGAGAGAAGATGCGAAGTTGGCCCCGGTGGTAAACTCTCTCTTTACACCGATCTTTTGGGTGACCCAATTTGCAGAGTTCGCAATTCTCCTGCTTATCTCATGCTGGTAAACTAACCATTTTTTTTATATATATAAAACTTCATTTGCGTATATATATATATATATAACAGTTAATTGTTGATGATCAGGTTGCAGAAATAGTGGTGCACAATGGACAAAACGAAGAAAAATCAATTGTAGGGATGATAAGGGGTTGCATCAAGACCGTTACGTGTGGGACGAAACTCTCGAGGAGTGGTGTCAAAAACAGCTCTGATTCAGCTAAGCCGCTTCCTATCTTCACCAAACTCGCCTATATTTTAGGCCTTCGTGTTTCTCCTGCTCACCGGTAAACCTCCCTCATTCATAATAATTTCCATTTATTTTTTAGCACTGGATCGTCAGTTTAATATAATAGTTCAGTTTTTTTTTTTTTGGCTAAAAGTTGATCAATGTGTGGGCACAGCACAGTCTTTGTCTTTTTTTTTGGAACAGTAAAATGACATTTTTAAAAAAAATATATATTTTCAGGAGAATGAGAATTGCGCTAAAACTGGTGTGCGGAATGGAGGAGTGGTTCAGAGGTAATGGAGCTGAATATTAAATGTTAGCACAAGGCAACTCATATACCACACAATTTTAAAGGTTAGCTCCCCCCCAAGGAGCTGGCCTAGTCGTAGAGGGGTTGGACTGACACGTTCGGAACCAAGGTTTGACCACTAAAGATACTAAGCTATATGAATACTTCTCATCGACCTAAACCTTGATGCACAGATTTATCGAGTGTCTAGTTGGAGATTGCAGGCCCCAGATGGATAATTGAGGCACAGACACAATAGAAAATTATTTAAAAATTAAAGGTGAAGTTATCAAGGTAACTGGATGGTACGAAACATAATTGGAGAATTTGAAATCAATATGTCAATCCAGCAAATGTGACAATGACAAGGTACTAACCTGCAAGCTTGATAAACATAGAAACCATCCAAATAGACATCAAATTTAAGAAAATTGTAGCAAGTCACAAACTTATAAAAAAAACGTTCTGCTATTCTCAATCTCATCAATGAACGCATCTTTCCACCATTGTGCTCATGGTTTTATAATATCATTCACCATTAAAATATAACAGTGTTAATCAGATAACAGTTCTGACCGAGTTCATTAGCATCATGAGGTTTCACAAATATTTAAATAAAGGAAAGTTAACTCAAAATTAGTCAGTTACCTTCCATCAAGTGAGCGATGGACGTACAGAAACTCAAATGGATGCTTACACTGAGGACATGTTGGTTCCTCTTTATAGGTAGCCCAGCGAAGAATACAAGTCACGCTGCACACAAAGCAAGGAGAATAATATAATCATAACAACATTTTCCGTAATTACAAAGAAAAGAAGATAAATACACCCTTGAAAGTTCTGCAGAATGCAAACTTTCAAACTTAGAATATCAGTACACCTGTAGAAAACAGTTTCATCATAATAAAGTCTAGTAAAAACTGAACATAAATGAAGTATGACAGTCATAACAACAAACAATGTACCCAAGGTAAACCCACAAGTGGGGTTTGGAGAAGGTGGTGTGGATGCGGACCTTACCCCTACCATGAAGGTAGAGAAGTTGTTCCAATAGACCCTCAACTCAAGTAAAACATTTTAAAGCGGGTATGAAAAGTAAATACATTAGTGAAAAAATCATGATGAAAATAATGGAAAAAAGAACTATAGCAATAACAAATAGTACGTCGTAATCAAAGCAAAGAGAACATTTGATAATAACGAAGAATAAAATACCACGGAAGTAATAATAATAAAAAATATTGATAAGGAAAACTAGAGAATGCTTGACTACCAACTAACCCCTTCTATCTTAATTATCAAACTCCATATCCTTCTATCTAGAGTCATGTATCATCTGTTAGCTGCAGGTATGTGATGTTATGAACTTATGTCTAATCACATCCTCAATAATTCTTTGGCCTACCTCTACTTCCACCTTTCTCAGACACACTATGGTCAACCTCTCACACCTCCTCACTAGGACATCTGAGCATCTCCTCTTTACATACCCGAACCATCTCAATCTCTCTTTCCTCATCTTGTCCACCACTAAGACCACTCCATAAAACTTACCTTTTAAGTCTTGGTGAAACATTCTAATCTCCATGGAGAAGACTTATGTATTGATCTTCACTTCCACATATACGTCTTGAGTCATGTCACTCTGTCTTAGTCCAGCTTAACCTCAACCTAGACACCAAGGTTTGCCTCAAAAACTCTAGCCTATCGTTAAATCCATCTTGTGTCTCATCAATCAATATTACGTCATCTACAAATAATATACACCATAACACCTACCCTTAGATATGTCGCATCAATTCATCCATCACTAAGGTAAAATAAAAATTGGATAAATTTTTCATCCTTGGTGCTACCCCATCATATACGAGAAGTGTTTCGAGTCTCCCCCTTTATGGTTTCCGAGGTCTTAGCTCCATCATACATATCCTTTGTCGCCTTAATGTATGTTATAGATTCACCATAACACCCCTCCTTAGATATGTCGCATCAATTCATCCATCACTAAGGTAAAATAAAAATGTGATAACTTTTATATCCTAGGTGCGACCCCATCACATATGAGAAGTGTTTTGAGTCTCCCCTACTGTGGTTTCCCCGTTCTTGGTTCCATTGTACATATCCTTTGTCACCTCAATGTATGTTATAGGTACATCTCTAACCTTCAAACATCCGCAAAAAACCATCTAGGGACTGTCTTATGGTTTTTCTAGATCAATGAAGACCAAATGTACAATCTCTCTTCATCAACCTGTACTACTCCACCAATATCCTTATGAGATGAATGGCTTATGTAGTTGATCATCACACCATGAAATTGAATTGGTTCTCGATAATAGACACACCTCGTCACCCTCGTCTCCACCATCATCTCCCAAACTTTCATATTGTGACACAACTTGATACCCCTATAGCTATTGCAATTTTAGATATCAATCATATTCTTGTAAACCAGAAACATTGTACTCTACATCCATTCCTCGAGCATTTTTTGTCGTCCTAAAAATAATATTAAACCACCCAATCAGCTGGTCAATACCAGCCTTGCTTGTACTCTTCCAAAATTCCACTGAGATCTTATATGTCCCGATAGCTCTCTACCTTCTCATCTTACGAATAATCTCCTAAAACTTTATACCTCTATGGTACCCAAAATTTGGACGACTCTCGGAGTTCTCAAAATCAACCAGTACAATAATCTTCATACAAGAGTTCATGGAAGTATGTTTAACATCTTTACCTAATGTGTGCCTATTTTATTAATACTTTTCCTTCCTTGTTTTTGATGGACTTCCAAGATTTTTTCTTTCACCCTGCAGAGTATATAAACGCCCTTCTCCTCCTCTTTCACTATCTCTCAATTAAAAATAGTTGCTTAAATATGCAAACATATGTGATTCTCCAATCCTATTCATTAAGCTCCATTTATTAACATATGATGATCAATGTGACGAAAATTGTTACAATATCATCTTATTGGATATTTACGTAAAAAAACAAATTGAAAGATATCAGGTCATCTAAAACAGGAAACTGAACAGAAACGAATCAAGTCTGTGCTGATAAAATGGCAAAAAATAGAGAAAAGAGAATCGTTCTTTAGACAAACCAGTAGGCATGCTCGCAACCTTTTACAAGGGCAGTTTCTTGGAGCACTATCTTATTTAAACAAACAGCACAAATCCCATGATGGTTATTCTCGCACCCAACTCGGGATGTTTCCTCAGTTGTGCTCTTCATTTTGTTCTGAAATGAAAACCCATATCAATCCATATCCAATGTACCCAATCCCAATATCTCGACTAAACACCATCCATGCAGGAAAAATATAGAAATAACAAATTCCAAGTTATTGTAACTTCACAAAATAAAAGATAAAAGTTAGATAAGCATGGCCATATAGAACGTCTATTAGCAAAATTTATCCATAGAAACGTCTACTTTACTGTAACTAGTTTGTGCGTCAATCAAAACTTTCTGTGAACATGTACAAATAACAACAAGTATCAATTGTCACCAAAAACCTCCCCCATCACACAAATCTTCACTCAACTACATGTCAATACCAAACTAATCCAGGATACCGTATTTTACTTTCTCACAGTTGCATCCTCTATATCCATTTCATTCCAACACTCACCATCACACAAATCTTAATTCAGATAAACAACTAAACTTCCAAGAATCTAACACTAAAATAGCAGACGAAAAAGACCCTTATCCACAATAACAAAAACAATAACAGATCAAAACATCCATAATCATTTCAAGGGAAAAAATGAATATTGGGTCAGCTATTACTTCACAATCCTCAAAACCCACATAACTATTTCAAGAAAAAATTGGATCTTGAACGACAAATAGCTAATGAAAGAAGAAAAAAACCCGATTTACCTGGGGTTCAATGAATAGATCTTGCATGTCGTTGAAGAGTTGTGGAGATTCAAACTCGACAACTGTAGCCATATGGTGAAGTTAGGGTTGAAAAGGGGTCAAGAAAATGGTAAAAAAATAGAGAAACGGAGAGATAATTATACACTCTACCGACTAGATTTCAGTATATATGTGTGGAAAGGGATGAAATTACAGAAAATTTATCAGATTGATTCCCTAGGATTATTCTTGATTCCAAAAGGAAATGGAGCTTCGAAGAGAAGGGACGAAGCCAAGGCGGATCCACATACAAGAACTATTATATAGGATGTCCCAAGTAACTCACCATAACCAACCAACTCACCCAACAACAAAAATTGGGGATTACAATTGATGACATTATAAAGGGAAAAAGGGTGGAAGGTGTCTTTCAAATATGCAAACTTTATAATGTTTATATTTTATTAATAGTTTGGTAATTTTGATTTAATATTATTTGTTAGGGAGCGCAACGGATCTCGTGTTAAAATTTTTAACGCGAATTTAAATTTAGTTAGATTTTAATATGAATATCGAATAGTAAATGACAAAATTTTAAAAAAAAATTAATTTGAGAAACACACTTTAATGGTGTATGTAATATACTCTCTCATTTATTTGCATAAATATTTCTCAAGATGGTAGTTTAAACTTTTCCTGGACTCATTCTAATTTTCAAAATCAATGTAAGAAAATACTAATTCCAAAGACTTTTGAGCAAAACTCAATAAATTGAATTCATGTAGAAATACAAGCATGAACAACAACCCAAAAATGTCAATGCGTAAAATATTGCAATCTCGTAAATAAAAATTAAGAATTCGAAACAAAAACATAACTCATATCAATAATTCTATGAAATTGAGAATAGAACATTTGATTGACTGAATTTAGATGTAGGACGTAAGGATGAACTAAGTCAATCATTTAGAATAGCTTTACATACTTGAGAAGATGAGATTAACTTGAAACTTTGAACGGAGGATTGAAGTTGATTATTCTTAGCTTCTTCTTTGAGAGAACTTAAAACGTGTGAATTTGATTTCCCTAAGGGTTGGTCATGAACGGGGAAGTTATTGGCTATGAGATAGACTTAAGAAATTTAATTGAGGATAGAAGGTCAAGAATATCCTTATGAAAATGTAAGAATACCATAAAAATTAAAGAAAACAATCTTAAATGAATCTTGTCGATCAAATCGGGCGATCTGGAAGTACCCTTGCTGAAATATTCAGCGGGTCACCCAATAAGGCTTTAGATCACCAAAACATTGAGAGACTAGATTTTCAAGACATTTTGGTGAGGTAATTCAACGAGTCACCAATTGGGCAGGTGTCCTCACTGAATTTTTCAACCCACACATTTTCCATTAAAACGATCATAACTTTTTACTCCAAACTCCTATTTATGTAAAATTTGTGGATTTGGAAAAAAGACTCATAGATATTTAACTTATTAGGTCACAGGCCTCTAACACTTTTTATATTGAGAGATGTAATTGATTGAAGTTCACCTTAATATGAACTCATGCAAGAAATTAGCCAATAGAAATGTTTTGAACTTGACTTGGTGTTCGAGATCTATTATGACCCTAGATCACGTTAAATACCCTTGATACACTTGGTAAAGTACTTTGAAAAACACGATCAAGTAGGACATCGCCCTATTTAAGCTCATATACTTACGACGAATGATTCATATTTTTAAAAGTAGAGTTGTGAGGTGTTGCATTTATTTCAGTAAACTTCTAAATTATTTTTGCATGTAATTTCCATCATCGTAATCATATTTGTATATTTTTCGAGTTGCGCGGTGTTACATAGACAAATCTTGTGCCTTAGTCATCATCATATCATCAAGGAGAAGAGTCAAATATGCCCCTAAACTATTTGAAAAGGTTTAGATATACCCTCCGTTTAAAGTTTGGTCCATTTATACCCTCGCCGTCCAACTTTTGGTCTACATATGCCCTTTTGGGCGTTAGTTGGCCAACTCGGAATATCCAACTCATTTTATTTTTATTTAAATGCCAAATGGATTTTCCACATTGTTTTTATGTATTATCACTTGACATTTATATTCAAGGGAAAAGGGTCAAATATCCCCCTAAACTATTCAAAAGGTCTAGATATACCCACGTTTAAAGTTTGGTCAATTTATACCCTCGCGTCCAAACTTTTGGTCTACATATGCCCTTATGGGTGTTAGTTGGTCAAATTCGAGATATCCAACTCATTTCACTTTTCTTTAAATGCCAAATGGATTTTTTACATCATTTTTATATATTATTACTTGACATTTATAATAAAAGAGAAAGGGGTCTTTTTTGCCCCTAACTATCCGACCTAATTTTTAAACACATATACGACCCGTATTTTAAATAATCTATATAACCTGACCCTTTTTTTTAAATACCCTATATGGGTCGGATTAGGGCATAACTGCACCATTTAACTGGCGAACACTATCGTGCTCTGATTGGAACCGCCGAGGAATCAATGGCACGACAACTAAAGGAAAAGGAAGTCGAGGTTTGAAAAGCGTTTTGGCGCAACGCAAAGCTGGAGGCGCAAACCTGGCAGACAAGGGCTAGAGCAGAGAAATTCACCGCAACAATGTTACAGACACAACTGCAAGCTGCAGCAGGCGATGATGATGTAAATAACAAAAGAATCCACACATATATGAGTCGGATTAGGGGCATAATTGAACCATTTAAAAAACGGTCGTATATGTGTTTTAAAATTGGGTCGGATAGTTAGGGCATAAGTGACCCCTTTCCCTTTTAATGTAAATGTCAAGTGATAATATATATAAATGATGTGAAATCTCATTTGGCATTTAAAGAAAAGTAAATTGAGTTGGATATTTCGAGTTGACCAACTAACACCCGGGTATATCTAGACCTTTCGAATAGTTTAGGGGCATATTTGACCCTTTTCCCTTGAATATAAATGTCAAGTGATAATACATAAAAATGACGTGGAAAATCCATTTGACATTTAAATAAAAGTAAAATGAGTTGAATATTCCGAGTTGGTCAACTAAAGCCCAAAAGGGCATATGTAGACCAAAAGTTGGACGGCGAGGGTACAAATGGACCAAACTTTAAACGGAGGATATATCTAAACCTTTTCAAATAGTTGAGGGGCATATTTGACCCTTTTCCCTATCATCAATATAGTGCATTATGACTTGAATCAATATCTTATCATTATAAAAGCATTTTAGGCCATAATATGATAGGAATCGAACTAAAAATGTTAGGCCAAAATTTTAACTTGATGTATTATCCTCTTGGTGCGATGACACTTAAATTTACTATCTTACCCTTAATCAATGACATATTATGCCAACGTGCAATGAGTCTCACCCCAAGCCTATGTAAATTTATTACTCAATTATATAGGTTACAAGGATAATATTATATTTATAATGCTAAGGAATTACAGAATAGTTATGTAAAACATACTCCGTAGACGGACTAGTAATTACAGTAAAGTTATCAAATGAGCTAACTTATTACATAGATGTCCTAATTAGTCTAGTAGAGATGGTTACTTTGCGTGAAGTTAGGTCGGATCAATGAATTATGCAATTTCGTCAACAGTGACCTGCATACAAGAATAATAAATTCAACTGTAAAACCTTTGTTTCAATTTCAAGGGGTCAAATTAACGTGGGGGTCAATGCATATATTGGTAGTGAAACAAATTTATTTATCACATTTGAATTGTAGTAGACTAATCAAGGGATTAAATTAAATCAGATCTTTATTTTCTAAGGTAGGTATTTGAAATTAAAATTACTCTAAAAGTTACATATATATTACCTCCATGAGGAACACTACTGCTAATTGTCCTCCTTTGCTATATGTAAACTCATCATTCGGCTATTTGTGTCGTTGATATCTTTAATAATTTATAAAATTTGTGTTGATAACCTATTTTAAAATTAAACGAAAAGTAAAATAAGAAACAAAAAATAAGACAAAGCATACAGAGATCAAGAGCAAACTCTCTTTTTTCCTATTCTATTATAAGTGTATTTACAAATATGACTAGATAAAGAGAATGTGTCAAAAAAATATTAAAAGCAATTTGTGTCCAAAAATTTTTTTTATTTTTTTTTAAATTAAATCGCTGCCAAGGCAGAGATTTTAATCAAAAAAAGTTTTTAAAATTTTTTAATAAATCGTTGCTACTGCAGCGATTTTGCAAAAATTTAATGATTTGTACCATTTTTTAGAAAAAATATTTTTTTTTTATTTTTAAAAAAATTTAATTAAATCATTGCACAGGCAGCGATTTTCATAATTTTTTATTTTTTTATTTTTTAAATTGCTAAAAAAAAAATCATCCGTATTTTTGTGTAGTAAAATTTGTGCAAAATTTTTTTCGATTTTCTTTAATTTTTTTTTTGTTTTTGAAATTAATCGGATGTCAACTTTACAAAAAGTTGACATGTAAAATTATTTCAAAAAAAGATTCAAACATTTACAAAAAATAATTTTTCACATGCATTTATAAGAAATAATAAATAATGTCAATTCTCATGCATTTATAAGAAACTTTTTGTTTTATTATTAATTTTTTTTTAAATTGCTCTATTTTTGTGTAGTAAATTTGTGCAAAACTTTATTTTTTCAAATTTCTCCAATTTTTTAATTTTTTAAGTTGGTCACATGTCAATTTTTTTAAAAAAAAAAGTTGACATGTCAAATTCTTACAAAAAAAATTTGAATTTTTACAAAAAAAAATTCACATGAATTAATAAAAAATAGTGTGTATTCACATACAAATAGTGCATTTTTATTTTGTTATAAATTCATTGAATAGTGTATTTTTGTTTTGATATAAATTGATTGACTTTTAATTCACATGCAAACAGTGTAAAGTCACATGTTACACTTTTATATTGTTATAAATTGATGAATTGTGCATTCAAATTTTATTGCAGTATTTCAATTTTTCAAAGTTATTAAAATCGTTTTCTAAAGTTTTTAAAAGTATTTCCTATATAAGGTGAGTTTGAATTTATCTTATTTTTAATTTATTTAATAAATTTTATAATTTTATATGATATTGTGGATATATTCTATCTTTTGATACTTATATTAATGTTAATATTTATTTATATTTTTTGTGTATAGATATGCATCCGTCAAATGTGTATGTACGTCCTGGTCCAGTAGAGTATGATGCGTTGAAAATTCAAGTTCATCATCGTTTCGAAGAAATTTGGAATTGGAGGTTAAAAGAAGAGAAGTCTTGCTTATATATGTGTCACAATGATATTGAATTTTGACAACATATAAAATATCATCCATTACATTCTCACATTCGTAAGTATTTTCAAAATTGTAGATTTAAAGAAATTCTTGATGTAGGATGTGTGTCGTATGACTCCGAATTAATTTCTGCTTTAATTGAAAAGTGGCGTCCAGAAACACATACTTTTCACATGCGAACTGGCGAGGCTACCATAACTTTACAAGATGTTGAAATTTTATTCGGAATGGTAATAGATGGTAGTCCTATAATTTTAAATGGAGCTGATGCTTTAGGGATTACATGTAGACAAGAAAATGATATTTGAATTAACAAGATGGTTACCTGATACTAGTTGTTTTTTTGGTGTTAGTAGATTGTTAACATATAAATTGATTGAGTATATTGAAGGTTTGGATGGTATTACTGATCACTCAACTGAGCATGAAGTGCAACAAAGCTTTAGATTATATTTGTAATGATTATGTGGTGGATCAATTATTTCGGATAAATCTAATTAATAAGATCAATTTGGACATTTTGATTGACATGAGAAATTTAGATTAAATGTCAACACAAGCATGGGGAGCAGCTGCATTATCATATTTGTATAATTGCTTATGTCGTGCATCAACGAAAAAATCAAATGAAGTCTGTGGATTTCTCTCTTTAGTGCAGGTATACATATTTTATAATTAAATATTTTTTATATACTAGTAATATGCACTTTTAAATTTAAGTGTATTCTAAGTAATGGTGAATTTTATTTATTGTATATTTGGGCATGAGAAAGAATTATTTCCCTGCAACCATTGTCAAAGCCTCTAAGGACCAATCAACTCGAGGCTTCAACTGCACTTGCACGTAAATGGACGCGACGTAAAAATCATCAAAATGAGGCACGAACTGTAATCGGTGTGTTTAGGGATGTACTAGATAATCTAACTGATGAACATGTATTTAATATTATTATTAGTATTTTAAACTATTCATATTTTTATTATATTTTAAATAAAAATATGTTTTGTAGATCTTTAAATGAGGCACTTATGTTTCACCATCCAAGAAAATTATATGAGTAAAATGACATATACATAGATTCTTGGTAGGTCCTTAAAATTAATATATTATATGACATAATGGTACAAAAAAATTATTTTTGTAAGATTGTTCATTTTTACGTATATTTTTTTTATTTTTCTACCAATGTTTTTTTATAATTATCTTACTTAGTTATTTTTTTATAGTTATTGATTGCCTGAGTGGTGTCAGTCGGGTCAACATGTCTGGATGGCACATGTGCCACTTATTTATGGAATTTATCGTCAGTGGCACATGGTTGATCGTGTTGTGAGACAGTTTGGTAATTTACAACATATTTCTGGACCGTGTACCCAATTTTTTGAATATCATTTTAAGCGTGATAAACGATCCAAAATAAAATAAGAAGATATAGATGCATTTAACTACACACAATATTTATGGGAACAACGTCAAAATCGTATATTTCGACCTCCATTTGTGAGTGATCAAATGAATTACTTTCGTTGGTACATGAGGCATACCCGCATGTTCATTGGAAATACACAATATGTTGTACCAAAAGGTTATCAACACATGGCAGGAAGACATGAGGCATTAGTATGTATATTATGCAAATTTTAAATTATTATGTCAATCTTTATCAATTTTTTTTTGTTATTAATAGTTTTTTATTCATTATAGGCTAGGGGTCATGAAATGCAGTATCGTCGAGCTCGTATGATTGAAAATGATGAAAATCAATCTAATGAAATGAGACAATATGCAGAGGAAGTCGCTTGTATTTCAATGGAGTCAATGAATGCGGCCTTTTAGCGAACACGATTGAACTTTGATCCTGATTACCATCCTCCCACTCAACACGATGAACCACCACAAGTACAAGTATCTCGCCAATCACGACAAACTACATATCGAGAGGGTGCACGTCGAGGTAGAAGGAGCGCTTGAAACAATTGATTTTTCTGCAGGACCCTCTAACACTAATGTGACAACTTTCGAGCCTTAAAGCCTGTTTGGCTCAGCTTAAAAGCTGGTCAAACTGACTTAAAAGCTGGTTTTTGACTTATTTAGCTGTTTGGCAATACTCAAAACAGCTTATTTTAAGTTAAAAAAAAACTTATTTTAAGCCAAAAGTTAAAAGCTGGGGTAGGGGTGCTTTTTTTTAGCTTATAAACTGTTTTAAGTTGACCACATTTTTATCTTTTTGTGCTTAATATTTTTGTACAATCTCCAAATTACCCATATAACCCTAACATTTCTTTCTTCCATTTTTCCCTTTTCACGTTTGACATAACAATTTCAGCACTTTTATCCAAACGCATAACTGCTTATTTTAAAAATAAGTTTCAGCACTTTTAAAAGTACTTTTTTAAAGTTGCTTTTATTAAGCCCATCCAAACGGGCCCTTATTATCCTACATTTGATTTTTCTATAGGGCCCTCTAACATAATGTTAATTTTTTTAGTTAGCATTCAGCTGGTTTTGTAACTCTACAGGTTTCGATATATGGTTTTAGGCAATTTAGTGGATCTCAATATGGTATTTAACATGATATGCGTGAATTTCCTATATATAATTCCCCATTTGGTGGAAGATTGAATTTTTCTAATTTAAGTATAATAATTTTCATAGAATTTTTTTAACTTTTTATAATTTTTTTTGCATATTTATTTAATTATATTATATTGTATTGTACTATAGGTAGTTGTGTCCGATGATTAAAGATTTAATTATGGAGCTTCACAAGATTTAGTTTTTAATAGACAAAATCCACCCCGGAGGACATGTAGGCTACACAAATCAACTAGATGTGGAACAGGCAGTCACTATCAAAATGAGGAAGATTCTGAAAATTAAGATGAAAATAAAGAAGAAGAAGATTCGAATTCAGAAGAATAATTTTTATGCACCTTTATTTTAAAAGGCTGAAAATTCGTATTTTGAAATGTGTTGAATTTTGTTATTTCGTGCAAGTTTAAAAAAAACAGTGAGATTCTTACGAAATGAGATTCTTTTACTTGCAGGATTTCCTTTATTTTTAATGTCATACATAAAATCATTACTTTTTTATGTAAGGTCAAATCAATTATATAATTATATTATAAAAATATATTACTTACAATATTATAATGCAACGAGACAAATGAAATTCATGTCAACAAATAAATATAAAAGATATATCATAATATTAATAACAAGAAAATAAAAATACATTAACCTTAAAACAAAACATAGACAAATATATTTAAAATCGAGTAGGATATTGTGCCTTTGTGTGACCTGTCTCCTTACAAACACTACATTTTCTAGACATGCGAGCCGGAGCTATATCCATATCATTCTTAAGTCGGCTTCTTGCTTGCGTCATTTGTCCGCAAATATTCAGTATTTGCAATTAAATTAAAAGAAGTTGATGGCCAATACATTTCATCACCCACTGGGTTAAATATCTCAGTATATGTTCGTTTGTAATATTTTGTACTGTAGAATTTACTTACATAAGATTTTGGCTCGATTTCGCGAAGTCCATAATATTTGATGGCATGCGAGCAAGGCATATGATAATTTCTCCATTTTCCACAAGAACATTTCTTACCTTTTGCAGTAACCGTGTGGACATTTCCATCTTTACCATCATGAGCAAAAATAAAAATTTCAAAAACTCTATCACCAATGTTGTAAGTCATCATATCAGTGTGGCCTGAGCTCTTTGATAATAATCATTAAATTTTTTATCTGTCGCAAGAGGTCATGGCATATTACTTTTAAGTAATGCAATTGCAAGATTGTTTCTTTCGACAAAACTATCAAT